AGCGCACCCGGAAGTCCACCGGAAGCCAATGCAGCAGGAGAGGAGTCACATGGGAGCGCCCAGTCGCTTTATGAATGTCTTTTCATTATTGGGCGGATGTATGCAGGATCAAGAAGGACACGGTGGCTCAGTGGCTAAGATGCCGAGCTTGTCGATCGAAAGGTCGGCAGTTCAGCGGTTTGAATTCCTGGTGCCGCGTAATGGGGTGAGCTCCCGTTACTTGTCCCAGCTTCTGCCAACCTGGCAGTTCGAAAGCACGTAAAAAATGCAAGTAGAAAAAAATAGGGACCACCTTTGGTGGGAAGGTAACAGCACTCAGTGTACCTTTGGCGTTGAGTCATGCCGGCCACATGACCACGGAGACGTCTTCGGACAGCGCTGGCTCTTCGGCTTTGAAATGGAGATTAGCACCGCCCCCTAGAGTCAGGAACAACTAGCACATATGTGTGAGGGGAACCTTTACCTTTACTTTTATGCAGGATCAAGTTTGTTTCTGAGAAAGGGTGATTGGAGGGTAACTGAAAAGAAAACCTCCTTATCACCTTGTGTTGTTCTTTCATCAGGGGAATCAATCGATACATTGATCTGAAAATTGTTTAAAAAGAAAGTTGGGAATTAGAAGAAAGGTTGATCCAATTCCAATCAATCATTACATTTTGAAGAGTGGGGAGAGGGTCCTTGGTGCTCTCTGAGCTTGCTTGTTTTCCTGCAGACATTTCATTACCTACCCTAACTAGGTAACATCATCAGTGCTGTTGGCTGTAAGGAGTGATGTTTGCTGTTGGCTGTAAGGAGTGTTGTTTGCTGTCAGTTTATATTGTGGTGAGTTGCCTGTCTGTGTGGCTGGGGGCAGTCTTAGATATTCTATTCTGATGATGATGAAGTTACACTCTTGCACAGTTTCATTACCTGCAAGAAAACAAGCAAGCTTAGAGAGCACGAAGGATCCCTCATTTCAACTCTGAGCTACAAATATTCTCCTTTATTTTGAAGAGTATCAAGCCAAACATCTCCTGGAGGCCAATATTTGGAAGATGAATTTAACAACAACTGTTCACCTGTGTTCCTAAAAAGAAAGAAAGGAAGGAAGGAAGGAAGGAAGGAAGGAAGGAAGGAAGGAAGGAAGGAAGGAAGGAAGGAAGGAAAGGAAAGGAAAGGAAAGGAAAGGAAAGGAAAGGAAAGGAAATCAGTTCTCCTTCTGGATGGTGGTTGTATTTCGCCTATGGGATGGGTTTGGGTTTGAATCTGGTGAGGATGATTGGTGGTGGTGTCAGTGTTATCTTGGGTGACACCACACCAATCATCCTCACCAGATTCAAACCCAAACCCATCCCATAGACGAAATACAACCACCATCCAGAAGCCAGGCCACGGTGGCATCACCAGCTGCTGCCCCCCTCCAATCCCCACACAAAGCAAACTGACACACGCCATGAACACATGGCAAGACCTCAAACTTGGAGCCAAACCAAAACCTGGGATGTGGCATCACAGCCATCTGCTCTAAACATTACATCAAAAAACTCAGGATAGATGAGGAAATAGTTAAAGACACCATGATCGCTTGGGGAAAAAATTTTGGGTACCCAATATACTTGGACAAATGGCAAGAGATTTGGTGGGATAATATGAAATTAGTAGTATCCACGGCTTATAAGGAAAACATCTATAAGATGATATATACAAGTAGGTTTAGTTTGGGACAAATTTTATAATTGGTTAGAAAAGAGGAATTTATAACCCACATTAGATGAGGACTGAGATTGGAAGAGAAATATATACTATATAAGACAAGTGTGGTCGGATAGACCTAAGGGATGCTTTAAGAGATATAAGATGTTCTGCTTTCTCCGGAATATAATTTAGAGTTATAGTACCGAATACGTGTGTACTAGGGTACTATATGGAAGTTCATATATTTATTGTTGTATTGTTATGTTTGTCACTTTATGTTGTTTGTCTTTTCTTTTTAAACGAAATGTAAATAAAGATTATTTAAAAAAAAAATTAAAAAAAAAGATGATATATAGATGGCACCTACCCCCCAATAGATTAGCAAAAATGTTCCCGGGGCATGTGGCAGAATGTTGGAAATGCGGGTGGGAACATGGCACCTATTACCATCAGTGGTGGACGTGTCCGAAAACAACGGAATTTTGGGGGAAAATAAAAAAATGGCTCAATGAGATTTTAATGGTAAAAATAGATTGGAGACGAGAGGCATGCCTGCTCAGGTCCAAGCCGGAAAATATAAAAAAAGGATTTGTGGTATTTGGCTTTACATATCATCACAGCGGCGAGATTGACATATGCCCAACTCTGGAAAAACCAGAATATCCCAACAGAAGAGGCTATTATTAAAAAAATCTTAGAATGTGCGGAAGCTGATACACTACCAAAGAATTAAAGGAGAGAGAGCAAACACAGGGAGGTTTAGCTTAGGATAAATTTTATAAATGGCTAGAAAAGAGGAAAGTACAACCCATATTAGAGGAGGAATGATATTTAATGAGAAACCTATCCTATATAAGATAAGTGAGGTCGGATAGACCTAATGATATATTAAGGCATGTAAGTTGTTTTGTCTTCCCCGGATTATAATGTAGAGATATAGTACTGAATATTTATGTATTAAGGTACTGCAAAGAAGCAAGGAAGTATGTTTGTTTATTGTTGTTTTGTTTTTTTTGTGTTATCTTTTTATGATGTGTTGTTTCTATGTTTTTTAATGAAAAATGTAAATAAAGATTATTTAAAAAAAAAACCTCAGGATCTCACAACACTAGAACTCAGGATGTTAACACACAGCCCATTACCCAGGTCGTTAAAACACAAAAGACTAATGGGCGCACATCAAGGACCTTACCCACACAGGATGTTACGAAACAGCTGACTAATCTGCAAACATCAACTCCATCAACCAATCAAGATGTAACAACACAGGCAACCAACCTGCTCACAGCAACAAAGCCACACCCCACACCCCCCACCAGTATTTATAGAGAGACGGCAGCTCCGATCACGCTTTCCTCGCACAAGCACAAAGCCCAAGACACCAGCCTGAAGATGACGAGTGGGACCTCGTCGAAACGTCGCCAAGATACTCTCAATCATACATGGGAAAAGACCCGAATACACCAAAACTTGCATACCTGTACCGGTGAAAATCTACAATTTATATTTCGCTGATATAAAATGGTATAAAAATTGGTATAAAATGGTTTGTTGTGAATGCGACTGCTTGAGGGCTCCTGGATTGAAGCTGAAAGGTAAAAGGGATGCAGTATGCTCCCTCCCACATGCTGGGGTAGACCAGGTGCCTCGATAGAAAAACATTTTATATGTAATGTATATATATATAATTATATATATATATATATATATATATATATATATATATATATATATATATTATATATATATATATTATATATATATGCATATTCTTTCTAGCCAGGTTTTACCTACGTAAACTAAGTTGTTCTACAGCCCTGGTTCTGTGAAATCTCATTCACAATTTTCTGGGCCTATTTTCTGCTGACAAACTGCAACTCTGTGTTGCTCTGGGAGACTCAGATAGCTATTTCTGCCTCTTAAGGCGTCCTCGGTGAGCCACACCCACTTCCCAATTATCCTCCCGTAAAGGTACAATGTATATATATGTGGTATACGGGTATATATGTGTGTACAGTTAATATCTCGGGTTTCTTCTCATGTAATTGTAAACATATCCTTAAAACGGTATGTTTACAATTACATGGGAAGAAACCCGAGATATTAACTGTACACACACACACACACATACTTTACTAGTCAATCAAACTGAATGTTGTTTATTTTTCAGAGAATTCAAATTATCTTCTTTTGATTCTGCCTACAACAGGTTGAATCATTACCTTATCCTTTATTTGTTAAATGTTCTAATTGTTTCTATTTTGCTTAGGGGAATTTTTCTAATTTTTTATAAATTTTTATGCAAAAAAAATAAAGTGACATTTTTGATCCAGATTCATTTGGTAGAAATGATTTCTGCATTGGGAAGGTTATTCATTCTGTCTGTCTGTCTGTCTGTCTGTCTGTCTGTCTGTCTGTCTGTCTGTCTTTCTGTCTATCATCTATCTCTACCTACCATCCATCCATCTGTCTGTCTGTCTGTCTATCTGTCTGTCTGTCTATTATCTATCTCTACCTATCATCCATCTGTCTGTCTGTCTGTCTGTCTATCATCTATCTCTACCTATCATCCATCGATCTATCTTTGTCTGTCTATCATCTATCTCTACCTATCATCCATCTGTCTGTCTGTCTATCTATCTGTCTGTCTGTCTATCTATCATTTATCTCTACCTATCATCCATCTGTCTGTCTGTCTATTCTATCATCTATCTCTACCTATCATCCGTCTGTCTGTCTGTCTGTCTGTCTGTCTGTCTGTCTGTCTGTCTTTTATTATCTATAATTTATCACCTATCAATCTTATACAGCTAGTAAAACTGTAAAACCTGGCCCCAAAAATGAGATGACAAGTCTAATTCAGCATCCCGTCCTAAGGTTAAAAAAATATTTGTGGCTGGGTTTTTTTTTTTCTGTTTCACTGATGAAAAATTTCATCTATTTTTATTGTTTCTCTTTTTCAAAAAAAAAAAAAAAAAACCCACACAAAAAAAAACATAGCCGAGCAAACATTTGACTGTCTGCCCTATAATTCTTAACTCCTTTTGAATGAAGTAAAAAGACAGCTGGAAGATTTGTCTCTGCATTGTCCGCCTTACGCTTTCTAAGCCTCTTAGATTCTATTAAAATGGCAATTTGCAAACTTATTTTAGGATAAACATTTTGTACGAAGTCCCGTGGGAAATGTTAGTTGGTTTCTCTATTGTTCCTTAAGTTTCCTGGATGACTTCCTCCATTTTCCCTCCTGTTTTTATGAGAATATAATTTAGCCTTGTAGATCTCAGGTACACTGTGAAATTGTTCACTGTTTCTTTTCATTGCTGGATCGTTATTGTTGTTGTTTAGCCTCAGTTGTGTTTGTCGTCCTCTTGGGTCTGGATGCATGATTCCTGGTTTTAACATGGATATTCTTTTTAGGAGACTAAATAAGCAATATATCACTTTGGCAGTTCCTAAGGTTCTTTCTGTTCCATATTCTTCCTGTTCTTCTTGAAGATACTTTCTGTCTCCATCTTCTGAGAAAGAGATGCTTCCAGAAGCTTGGTCCCTGACCAAGAACTGCTGTATGGCACCAAAACTATACCTGGCAATTACGTTCGGATTGTACTGCAACTAACTTTGGGTCCTGCCTGGAAAAGAAAGAACCAGGAGTTCTAGCAGCTGTTGCACTGTGGAGTACTGCCAAGTTCCGTCACCATAGCAACAGCATCAGCACCATCCACATCCTCCTCCTCCTCCTCCTTCTCCTCCTCCTCTTTAGCATCATCAGTATCAGGAAAAGCAGCAGCAGTCCTGGTAGGAGCCAGAGGCTGCATTGGCTGCATTTTTACAAATTGGCTTTGTCGGACTGCTCAGCCGCTACAACCGAGAGATGCAGCACTCACTACTCTGTCATTTTCTGGGAGATGGACAGATAGAAAAGGAGGGAGAAAGAAAGAGATGAGAAGAGTGCACTGCAGAGGAGCCAAAGGATACCCAGGTAAATATCCCAACCTCCTCATTTCTGTCCACCAATCTCTAGCCCTTGGTTGCATTGGAATTATTGATGTATCTTTTTGATTGCAAATATCTTTAAAACAAATAATAATTTTTCCCTATCAGCAATGCCTGCTTCCTCTCTCCTCCTCCTTTCTTTCTTTCTTTCTTTTTTTTTTAAAAGAGAAGCTTCTGATTTTCCTCCTTTATCAGCAACTGAGGGGGGAGAAAATTCACATATGTTCAAAAAGCAAAAAGCAAAAAAGCTTCATCAAATGTTGATATCGGTTGTCGAAGGGAGATGCTTCGGAAGAGATACAGCAATTGTACACCGAGAAGGTGAAAAAGATGCTGGCAGAGTTTATTCGGAATAAAAAGTGAGCAGTTGCTTAGATAAGAGGCTGACATAGCAGCAGATAATCTTCTTAAACACACACACATACAGAGAGAGAGGGGGGGATATTGCTACACTTTGGCAGAACATCTGTCAGAGTGACTTAATTCACATTGACTCAGATCTGTTTGTGTCTCCCTGTCTGTGTGTTGTTGGTGTGTATGTTAAGTCCTGTATACTGTGTGCAATGCCAAAAGGTTACATATTGGGAAAATAAGGGGAGGGGGAGAAGCTAAAATGGGATTGTGTGTGTGTGTGGTGGTGGGTGAGCTCATAAAAGCCCGTGTTATCAAAACATTGGGTTACACAGTTGATGTCTTATCATGCGTCAGAGTATTGGATCACCTAAGGTAGTATTAGATACACAGAGAGGCAGCCTCTTTCTCCAAGGTTCGCGGATTCTCTTCAGCTTTTCCAGCTCTGATGTTTCAGCAACAGAAATCGATAGCAAGAGAGATCGCTTTGCAAGCTTCTCTCTAACAAAACATGTGCAACCTGACTTGAGCCGAAGATATTGTTCTGTCTAGTGTGTCTCAGAGAGTGGGCACTCTTGCGTGCCCACTGCCCAGAATCTTCAGGTCAGGGATGAATTCACTTCGGATTTTTTGGGGGGGAACAGGGGACTAAAGCGGACCACAATATTATACACCTTTAAATTGGGAGTCGATCCTGGTTACAACACTGGGACTTAGTTGGGGTGAGCAAGTCCACGATTCTGCAGCAAATCCAGTTGCGCGTCCAATCTAAGTTGAAAGAAGCTAAGTTGAAAGAAGCGTTATTAGTTGCATTTTTCCTAAATGTAAGTTGTGCATTAAGAGCCACAATCACACCATCACTTGTCTGTGCTCCTATGATCCAATCAATCAATCAATCAATCAATCAATCAATCAATCAATCAGAATAGAAATGGAAGGGACTTTGGAGCAGATCCAATACCATTCCAGTCAAGTGGCTGTCTTGACTCTTCAGTTCAGGGATGAATTCAGTTCATATTTTTTTGGAACAGGGGACTAAAGTGGACCACAATATTATATGAACTTTAAATTTGGGGGTAAATCCTTGTGACAACACTTGGATTTATTTGGAATGAGGAAATCCATGATTCTGCAGCAAATCCAGTGCGTCCAATATAAATTGGAAGAAGCACTATTAGTTGCATTTTTTCCTAAATATTACTTACACATTAAGATCCATAATCACACCATCTTTTGTCTGTGCGTCTATGATCTACTCAACCAACCAACCAACCAACCAATCAATCAATCAGAATAGAGTTGGAAGGGACTTTGGAGGTCTTCTAATCCAATCCTCTTCTCAAGCAGGATACCCTATACCATTTGAGACAAGTGGTTGTCCGATCTCTTCTTAAAAGCCTCCAGTGATGAAGCACCCACAACTTCTGAAGGCAAGTTGTTCCATTTGTTAATTGTCCTCCCTGTTAGGAAATTTCTCCTTCAATTCCAGGTTGTTTCTCTCCTTAATTAGTTTCCATCCCTTGTTTCTTGCCTTGCCTTCTGGTGCTTTGGAAAATAAGTTGACTCCTCTCTTCTTTGCGGCAGCCTCTCAAATATCCACCAGCCACAATTCTAGAACTTCTACACTTCTAATTTTGCTCCTGACTTGAATGGCTTCTTCTTTTCTTACGTGTAAACTGCTTGATCATTTGTATTAACAAGCCTAGAATTGAAAAAAAGCTGAAAGGGGAATTTAGGTCATTGAATTGTGCCACCAGTTAAGGCAAGTATTTCAATCCGATCTCAGTTTGAACATACTCCAGGCAGAGAACCCGTAACAAGTAGCTCTTGACTAACAACCATTCATTTAATGACTGTTCAGAATTACTACAGGACTGAAGAAAGAGACTCATGACTGATGCTTTCACTTACAACTGTTGCAATAACTCTAGCCATGCAATCAAAATTCAGCCATTGGCACGTATTTATGATGGTAGCAGCATCCTGAGATCACATGATTGCTATTTGAAAATTTCCCAGCAGACTTCCAACAAGCAAAGTCAATGGAGGAAGCCAAATTCGTTTAACGACCATAGCAAAATAAAAGTCATAAAACTGGGCACGATTCAATGAACCACTGCCTTCCTTAGCAAAGGAAATTCTGGGCCCAGTCATAAGTTGATGACTACTTGTGTCAATGGCAAAAAAGGAAGGTTCTACTTTTAGGCAAGAAAAACAAAATGCACAGGTACAGTATAGGTGGTACCTTTCTCAATACTAGTAGCTGTGAGAGGGATCTTGGAGTCCAGTGGACAACCATTTAAATATGAGCCAGCCGTGGGCAGCAGCTGCCAAAAAAGCCAACACAGTTCTAGGCTGCATAAACAGAGGGATAGAATCAAGATCACGTGAAGTGTTAATACCGCTTTATAATGCCTTAGTAAGGCCACACTTGGAATACTGCATTCAGTTTTGGTCACCACGATGTAAAAAAGATGTTGAGATTCTAGAAAGTGTGCAGAGAAGAGCAAGAAAGATGATTAGGGGACTGGAGGCTAAAACGTATGAAGAACAGTTGGTGGAATTGGGTATGTCTAGTCTTATGAAAAGAAGGACTAGGGGAGACGTGATAGCAGTGTTCCAATATCTCAGGGGCTGCCACAAAGAAGAGGGAGTCAAGCTATTCTCCAAAGCACCTGAAGGCAGGACAAGAAACAATGGGTGGAAACTAATCAAAGAGAGAATAAACTTTTAATCAGTGGAACAACTTGCCTCCAGAAGTTGTAAGTGCTCCAACACTGGAAGTTTTTAAGATGAGATTGGATAACCATTTGTCTGAAATGGTATAGGGTTTCCTGCGTAAGCAGGGGGTTGGACTAGAAGACCTCCAAGGTCCCTTCCAACTTCTATTCTATTCTATTCTATTCTATTCTATTCTATTCTATTCTATTCTATTCTATTCTATTCTATTCTATTCTATTCTATTCTATTGGACCTGTATTCCAGGTAACCTGAGTTATTTCACAATATATTATTAGTTATACTTAAGGAGTCAAAGTTGAAAAATTCCCAGAGAAGTTGGATATTACTTTTAAATTGTACCTAAAAACATTGAATTTACTGGGCCTTAAAAATCAATGAAATCCAGAGAAAAATAAAATGGAGAATATTCTGGTGCGTTTAGGAATGCACTCCAATTTTTGCTGCCTCCCTGTGTGCAACTGCCACTTATAATCCTACCTTCATGATACCTACTAACAAATGGCAAGAGATTGGGTTTTTTTCAAATTTAGGATTATATAGCAGGTAAAAATAATGTATAATAGTAAAAGAATACAATCTGTGGGAGATTACCAGGATGAGCCCGAGGGAGGGGTCAAAGACCTTATCAGTCTCTAGTCCTTTCATGCTCACAAGAGATCTAAATCCAGTCCTTTGGATTTGACTTTGACATTTATCTACCGCCAATTTGTGTTCACCATTAGTAGGTCAGATTCTTGTAGAGAGCTTAAACTTGCAATACATTTTTATTCCCATTTGAACTGTTTGGATCTTCTGATTTCCCCGGCACTTGACTGAACTTGTGTTAGTGTGTGTGTGTGCATCAGGGGTGGGTTCTACTTACCTTTACAACTGGTTCGCAACAGGATTGCGTGTGCACGCTGGCTTCTGCGCATGCACAGATCGGTGATGACGACATCCGGGACAGTGGGCGGGCCTCCCGCTGGTTTTTACTACCGGTTCTTGCGAACTGGTCCAAACCAGGGGCAACTCACCACTGGTGTGCATGTGTGTTTGTAGATAACGTTCTTGCCTACAGTACGTGTGTCTTTTAGAGAATGGAATAAATTGATAATGTTCCATTTCTCCTGTGTGATACATTTAGGACAAAAAGGACAGTCATTATGAGTTAACACTCTTCTCTTTTTCTCTCGGTGTGTAAGTTGGAGGGGCCAGTGGTCTTTTCTAGGTCATATACATAGATAAAATCAAAGGCTTCACAGGAACCAGGATGCTATCTCTTGCTGTGAGCTTTGGGAAAATTATCATTTAAATTGTGGTGGTAGGTCCTAGCTTCTGAAAACCAAAGACAGACTAATCTTGACCTACTAAACTGGATTTCATGACAATGTTGATAAGTAAAGATGAATCTCTTTCTGAGTTGATCAAAACTGTTCTTGAAAATAGCAGCCATGGCTGCATCTATTGTGAAAAATCCTTGCACTGTTTTAGATCTGGCAGCTCTATGTGCCCAACATTTTTTTTTTTAAATTTGATTTATATGCCGCCCTTCTCCGGAGACTCAGGGTGGCTTACAATGTGCTAAGCAATAGCCTTCATCCTTTTGTATATTTATACAAAGTCAGTTTATTGCCCCCACAAACTGTGTCCTCATTTTACCTACCTTAGAAAGGATGGAAGGCTGAGTCAACCTTGAGCCTTGAACCTTGAACTTACAGTAATTGCAGACAGCTGGTCTTAATAACAGGGTGCTTTAGACCACTGTACTACCAAGGCATTAACACTTAGAACGTAGAACATAGAATAACAGAGTTGAAAGGGACCTCGGATATCTTCTAGTCCAATCCCCTGTTCAAGCTGGAGACCCTACACCATTTCAGACAAAAATCTGTCCAATCTATTTTTGAAATCCTC